ACATTAAATTCGAACAAAATCTCTGGAAGGGTTTATGGGACACATGGGAACCTAGTGGTGTTGGGTTAAGATCCTGGACCATCATTCAGAGGGTCCTGAGTTTGATTGTCAGTCAGATGTGTATAGATCTTCTATTCACAGATTGAAACCATCACTCCTACCAAAGATAACATTATGGGAATATGAACACTACTAGGTGCACCCACTGCCAACCATCACTTTCATGATCATCTTACCAATTGGGGTCATGGACTCCTCACTATGGGTGTCTCCACCTCATAGATGGAATCTGTGCCCTTATCTGGGTAGGCAGAGGACAGAAAGGTGAACATAGATCACATTTGGAGTCACTGGACAATCATAATATGCTAACTCAACTTCAACTGTCTACTGTCATCCTCCTGTCAGCTCGAATCAATTCTTTCAGCTGCCTCAAAGTTGCTTCTGTTGCAACCTCAACAGGGTGACCTGGTCGGCCATCATCTGCAACTTTTGAACAGTCTTGAGAGAATTTCTCAATCCAGTTGTAAACACTTCCCAATGTAAACAGGAAGCATTTCCTTATGATCATCCTTTGGACTCAGTCCTTTTGCTCACAGAAAATGCACAACACAACACTGCACTTCAGTAGTATACGCTCAAGCACAGTCATCATTTTGGCTACTGAAATCAGCCTCTTAACATATGCACACAGGCCTGCTACTTAGACTGACATGACGCTGGACTATGCTGGTACCTAGTGATGCACATAGAAAACCTATTATGATATCCATTATAGCTGTTTTACTTCCATTTGTGACCTGTTTGCTGACTCTCCCTCATACACGTATTACATGAACCACAGACATACTATTCTGTCCAAAAAGTATCCAACCTTGGGCGGGGAAAATAAAGTTCTCTATCTGGGTAGTTACAATATCTAATACCCTTCAAAGTAGGCCCCTTGCGACTCCACACACTTAGCCAAGTGGTCCTTCCATCACTGGAAGCAAATCTTTCTTGATCCTTTCAATTAAATTCTCTGTACTACTTCATTTCTCAACAAGCAGAATCAAACCACCTTTATTAAACTTTCTTTTTATAATCAATATACCAAGTATTCTGCAAACAGATATATCGTTTGCAATGTCCAATACAGCATAGTTTGTATTCATCTGACCAATCCATAATATCTATCTCAATATACTCAATCCAAGTGATATATCAACCTGAAACTAACTGATCAATGAATTCAATCACATGTAATGGCAGAAGAGCATAGATAACACACAGCAAAAAGCATATAATGCTGTTGAATTATGTGTATAAGCTGACAATCCGTTTCAGTGACTACACTCTACTATTTGTTAGCTTCACAGGGCTGAATTAACATCATAACTGTAGGAGAATGTCATGTCATGTCTGTTTCCACTCAACAAGACAGGGCATTGTGCATATTCAGCAGTCAGAATCAAATGGAACTCATTTGCACAGATTATTTGTACCATGGGATTGAGTTCATTTCCTGTCAGTTCAAAAGGTTAGCAACAGCAATCAATTCCAATATATTGTAGAATTCTACAAAACTGAAGCATGCCATACATCAAAACTGTCTTACTTACAACATGAAAAACTGTGGCATGCTACAAGTCACATACTGTTCCTTTAGTCTAAACCCATCTCTACTGCTCTATGATTTACTACACACATCAACATGTATGCGCAAATGTTTCTTCAGATGGCTCTGCATACTGAATGACTTATTACATACATAAGAACAAAATAGCTGCTCCCTACTATGTATGCACTGATGCTAATTCAGCTGGGTCCACACGCTGAATAACTTATTACATACATCACAGAAAAGTGGCTCTTTGCCACTATGTATGTGCTGATGTGCCTTCAGATTACTCTGCTGCTAAATGACTTATTACATACATACAGAACAACAAAACAGCTGCTCCCTACTATGTATGCACTGATGCTTCTTCAGCTGGGTCCACAGGCTGAATGACTTTATTACATACCTCACAGCATAATGGCTTTTCCCCACGATGTATGTGCTGATGTGTCTTCAGATGACTCTGCTGACTAAATGACTTATTACATACAACAAAATGGTTTTCCTCACTATGTATGCGCAGATGTGTCTTCAGATTACTCTGATCACTGAATGACTTATTACATATATCACAACAAAATGGCTTTTTTCCACTATGTATGCGCTGATGTTTCTTCAGCTTACTCTGCCGACTAAAAGACTTATTACATATATCACAACAAAATGGCTTTTCCCCACTATGTATGCGCAGATGTGTCTTCAGATTACTCTGATCACTGAATGACTTATTACATATATCACAACAAAATGGCTTTTTTCCACTATGTATGCGCTGATGTTTCTTCAGATTACTCTGCCGACTAAATGACTTATTACATACATCACAGCAAAATGGCTTTTCGCCACTATGTATGTGCTGATGTGTCTTCAGGTTACACTTCTGACTAAATGACTTATTACATACATCACAGTTAAATGGCTTTTCCCCACTATGTATGCGCTGATGTGTCTTCAGATCACTCTGATCACCAAACGACTTATTACATACATCACAGCAATATGGCATTTTGCCACTATGTATGCGCTGATGTTTCTTCAAATTACCCTGCTGACTAAATGACTTATTACATACATCACAACAAAATGGCTTTTCCCCACGATGTATGCACTGATGTGTCTTCAGATTACTCTGCTGAATAAATGACTTATTACATACATCACAGCAAAATGGCTTTTCACCACTATGTATGCGCTGATGCCTCTTTAGACCACTCTTAAAGCGGAATGACATATTACACACGATGCAACAAAGTGGCTTCTCCCCACTATGTATGCGCTGATGTTTCTTCAGATGACTCTGCTGACTGAATGTCTTATTACACACACCACAGCAAAATGACTGCTCCTCACTATGTATGTGTTGATGTGCTATCAGAATTTTTTCTTGACAGAGTGATTCATCACACTCATCACAGGAATATCCTCGCTCCTCACCATGTACAGGTTGAAGTTCATTCAAATTACCCTGGAAGATGAGAGTAAATAACATGAAAAATCCTAATAGGAAGAGAAATAAGTTTGAAGCACCAATACAGTGAAATGTTAAATTGGTAGGCTTGAGAGTTGTTCAGAGATGGGAGGGAGGGATAGAGAGAGCACACACCCCTTGTGTGGTGTGCGCCTGAGTCCATCAGCATGTATGGAGGTTTCTGATTCAACACAAGTTAAGCTGAAATGCCACTGTTTAACAACTACAATATTAAATAATATTATGCATTTGTAAGGCTGGACAGGCATCTAATTAATAGTGGATATGCTCCTAAAGTGAAATAACGATAAAGGCTGAGCTAAAAATGATATTAAGAAAGGCTGTATATGGCCCAGCAAAACCCCCCTACACGTGACAATATATAATATACAGGATTATTCAAAAGAATGAACCGATTTCATGGCGCATTGCTTCAGTTCTCAAGCATTGTCATGGAATGAGTCAGAGACCATTTCAAAGAGGAGTTATCTAAGTTGTGAATGGCTGCCACAGGGGCGCTGAAGTCGCGTCATTCTTCCGGCAACGTTCAGTTGTTCGTTTACCCTCAGAATGGCGAGTCCTCTGCAAAAGGTGTTCTCCGTTCTCAAGTTCGCGAAAACAAATTCGGTTGTCACAGTGCAGCGTGCGTTTCGAAGGTGATTCGGCATTAATCCGCCCTGTCCTAAGAACATTCACCAGTGGTTTCGACAGTTTCAAGAGAGTGGGTGTCTGTGTAAAGGAAAATGTCCAGGACGACCACGAGTCTCCGAGGAACAAGTGGTGAGAATACGTGTTGCGTTTGAGAGGAGACCGCGGAAGTAAAAAAATTGAGCTAGCTGTGAGCTTGTGATTCCTGAATCCACTGTCTGGCGTGTGCTAACAACACTACTACATTTGAAACCATACACACTGCAGCTCGTTCAGGCACTTACCAATGACAAAAGGAAGCGGATGGAATTTTGCGATTCGATGCTGGAGATGATGGAAGACGAAACCTTCATTTCACATTTAATTTTTAGTGATGAAGCGACTTTTCACTTGAGGAGCACAGTCAATCGTCACAATGTGCGTATTTGGGGAACAGAGCACCCACATGAAACAGTTGAGCATGAAAGAGATTCCCCTAAGGTGAACATCTTCTGTGCTGTGTCTCAGGACAAGGTTTATGGTCCCTTTTTCTTTGAAGGAAACATGGTTACAGGACAA